GTAACTTTTCTTTCTATAGCTTAATACTAAAGTTTTTTATAGTAGATAGTTAAATAAAAGTAGAATAAAATATATATATTCTATTATTTCTTATATTAATCTTATAATCTTTATTATTTATTTATAAGAAATTATAAGGTCTTTTCTATTTCTTAGATTTCTTCTTTTAAATAAGAACCTTATTATTAATCCGAAGATTATAAATATAAGTAGTTCCGAGGCTATTTTAAGTAGCTAATATATTATTAACTTTATATATAGCGTAGAGCTTATATATAGCTTTTATAGCTTTCTTAATAGTAGCTACCTATTATTCGACTAATAAATTAAGAAGATCTAATTTTATTATCTTAGAGTATACGCTAAAGACTAGTAATATAAGAACTAAGTTATTAGGTCTAGCTATATTATTTATAGCTTTAATAGCTATTTATAAGTATTTCTTAGTATTAAGATCTTTATATTCTTCTATAATAATTTTATAAGTATAATAGAGTAAATAGTAATATCTCTTTACTTTACTAATAAAATAATATACCTCTACTAGAATAAATTTAAAGATAGTTCTAACTAACTTAAGTAAGCTCTAAAACCCTTTAGAGTTAAAGTTCATTCTATAGTTATAAATTATAAAGTTAGGTAGTTTTAAATATATATTAATCTATATAGCTTTAAATATATTAAATATAGATTAAACAGATACTAAACTAAACTCTTTTTAAAGCTATCTTACTATCTTAAATATTATTACCTTATTAACTATATAGAGAGTATACTAATTACTAAATATTATAATATTAATATAGACTATATAATTAAAATTAATATTATTATAGAATCTGAATTAGAACTAATATAAAGCATCTATATGCTTCTAGTAGTATTTATATATCTCCTTTACCTATTATATAATATCGGAATCTAATATATAACTTACTTAGTCTAAAAAATATTATAAATATTATACTAATAAGTACTTAAATCACTTATAGAGTCTACGAATCTTTATTTCCGTAAGGTAGTAAGCTAATATATCTCTATCTAAATACTCTAATAATTAGTAATATTAATCTAAAAGAAGCTATATATACTTACTTTTCTAGATAATTAAGTACTTAATATCCTCTTAAACTAAGGTATTAATAAGATTATTATAGTAGATCCTTAGCTAGTCGAGCTATTAAAAGTATATTAAGAATAATATATTAGTATCTATAATTATAAATTCTATCTATTTAATAAGGGTATTAATTATAATAGTTCTTAATATAACTCTTATACTAGCTCTAAATTAGATCTAATAATATCCTGCCTCTCTTTTATTAAATATAACTTTCCGAATTTATTATAAAGCTTATAACTAGTTAAGACCGCTTATATTTCTCTTTAATACTTTAGTATTAATTAAAAAACCTTAAAAAACTATCTTAGATTATTAAGTAATAAAAGCTTCTATTATTATCTTAAGCTTAAGTTACTTAATTATACTCTAAAGGATATAAATAGCTTTACGCTTCTTAAAGTACTAAAGAACTTACCTTATATTATACTTTATTTCTGATATATAGAATATAGTAATAAAGTATACTACTTTATTTTTATCTTTTATATATTAGTTTTAATATTATTAGAATAGTTATTATTATTTTCTATTAAAGTATTAGAATTATCTCTTTTATTATCTTTACTAAGTCCTCTAAACTAGTTCTAATTAAGCTCTAAATCTAATTCCTCTTCTTTAAAGTATATTATATATACTTTATAAGACTTTTCTATAAGCTTAATACTTTTAGTTTTTTATTCTATAAAATACCTTACTTTTAAAGCTACTTATTCTTAGTCAAAGTAATAGCTACTATAGTAGTTTATTTTCTTATAAATAATATAACTTATATAGCTTAATAAAGCTTTAAATCTATCTTCTTCTTTATTTCTTAAAAAGAACTTTATCTTTTAGTTTAAGTAATAAGTATTATTATCTATAATATATACTTAAGACTAATTCAGATTATTCTTAAAGTATCTCTTAGATCTAGATCCGGAATCTTATATAGTTTTTATACTTATAGCCGCTTAAAAGCTATTTATTAATATAAGGAATATTAGAGGTAACTTAAATAGAGCTATTTTAAATAAGAGATTCCTTAAAAATTTTTATACTAGCTTATTATATAATATCTTATTATTTTATATACTATTATCCTTAAGACTTAATTAGATACTTTATAGCTCTCTTATAAAGCTTTCTAATTATATTAAAGCTAATTTACTTTTCTAAAGTAACTTATTCTAAAATATAGAAAAAGTTATATTAAATTATTAACTTAAGTATTAATTAGCTTTCTTCTTTATCTTATGGTTATTATAAGTAGCTTATACTAGCTTATTAAATAAGTACCTCTTATTCTAGAGGTACTAATAGTAGTATAATAAAGCTCTATCCTAAAGTATAGATAGAAATACCTTATACTATAGTATAAATTCTACTAATATCTATTAATAAAGATTAGTGAAGATATAGAGCTTCTTATTAAGATAATCTCTAGCTCTATTATATTAGAGCTCCTTAATATATATCTTACTAAGGCTTACTAGTAATTTTACTTATTCTAGAGAGATTAGTTTTATAATATACTAACTTAGCTAAATAAGCTCTAAATATAAACTATTTTAGCTAAGTACTTAAAAAAGAAGTAATATCTTATCTCTTAAGTATATTATAAGAGCTAAATTAAGATCTAGTAAACTATTATCCCTTAGTCTCTATACTAGAGGCTAATTAGTATACTATCTCTCTAGTCTTATTAGAAATAATTCCTCTCTTTTAATATTAATAAAAGAAGAGGCTCTATAGAGATTTTCACTTTCTATAGAGAGTTTAATATATAAAAGTCCTTAGGAGCTTAGATACTAAAATAAAACTTAATCTTTTAAGAGATTACTTATTTATATCTTCCCTTAGTTATTCTAATACCTTATTTCTATATTATTAAGAGCTATAATCTCTATAGATAAAGATAATATATTAAGCGAGTTCTAATAAAGTATTTATTATATTTAATTCTTTTCTTAATTATAATTCCGGATCTTTTCTAAAAAAGAGCTAAATAATAAGTCTAGTAATAGCTTAGTTTCTTATCTATCTAGCTAAGTATTCTTTTACACTTAAACTACTATTACTAAAGTATTAGTAATATATAGTCCTTTCTAACGTTAAACATAGACTTAGTTCTTTAAGAAGTAATCTTATAGCTCCTATTATTAATTATTCGTTAACTTCTTAAAATCCTTTATTATCTAATCTAGAAAGTACTTCTAAAAGTCCTAAAATAATATCTTCTCTTAGATACTTTTTCTTATAGAATAATCTATAAATCCTTAAACTAGACTCTTAATATTAGCCTTTATAAGACCTACTAAAAGTACTCTAAGAGCTAGCGTTCTATCTTATATTAAAGCTCCGCTACTTCTAACTTCTACTTTAAGTTATTTCATAACTTAGTCTATTAAAGTTACTATTATATTAAGAGCGATTTATAAGTATTCCGGAGGTATCCTTTATATTTTAGAAATATCTAATTAAATAGCTCTAGAGATATCTTAATAACTATTATAAAGTAGCTATTATTCTTTAATAGTATAGAACTTACTCTACTTATTAATAAGAGTTCATTAGTTACTTTATAAAGCTTACTTTACTTATTAATAAGAGCTTACTAATATATATTTAGCGTTTTATCTTAAGAGTTAACTCTATTATATTTAACTTATCTATTTTATAATATAAAGTAACTACTAATTAGTATTAGTATTATACTAGTAAATAAATAATAAGTATATATTAATATATATTAAAATCTAAGGTTTAGTTTAAAGGTATTTAAAAGTATATATTATAAAAAGTATCTAAGAGTTAAAATATATACTACCTCCCGAATAACCCCCGGTTTATATCTGAAAGGAGTCCACCTCTTAACTAGGATTACTTATACCCTCTAATTACCTCTTATATTTCTATAGTATAAGTCTACGGACTAATATTAACTAAAGGATATTTTTTTCTCAAATTAAATATAACTTATTAACTAAAGTATTTAAAAAATAATCTGTTTAATATAAATAATTTAAAAGGTATTAATTAAAATGTATATCTAAGAAAGTTTTTAATAATACGTAAATTATAAGATTTACGATTATATTAAAAAAAAGTAAGAAAGTATCTTAAAACTTTAGTAGTTACTTTTCTAAAAGTAAGTTTATACTACTTTATTAAGGTACTTACTATAAGGCCCTTAGGAGCCTCTCTAGCGCACTCTTCTAGTATATAGTCGACTAGAACTAGCGCCCTTTAAAATCGGTATTAGTACCTTAATAATACGACTTAATTTCTATTCTTAATCCCTACTAAATTTCAGTAAGATAAAGGAATCTTAGTATTACTTTTATATCTTACTTAAAAATCCGATAAAGCTAGACTATACGTTATCACTTTAGGAAGTGATACGAAGTGTTAGTTCCGAGCTAAACAGGCCCTAACCTGAGTAGGGAGCAATACTCAGAATTTAGAAACGCTATTAGACAATTATCCCTGTTGTTAAAGAACTCTCTAGAAGTCTTGGCACCCTTAATTACCCTGAGTACTATAGTACTAAGTACTCTTTTAGTGCCTAGGCCACCTAAAGGACAGAACCAAGTATGCCCACCTTTCATATTAATCACTACCTGACATCGCTGCCCCATACGATTCAGAAGCTGCCTATAATACTCTCTTATATACTTAGTGTTTAGAGAAAATAAACCCTTACCCTATCTTTATTAGTACGAGCTTTAGTAAGGATAGCTATCTAATTACCTTATTAGAATAAGTCTATTTATAGGGAAGAAACTCCTAGAACTATATATTAGGGTATAGGTTTATTTATCCTAATCATAAGTAAGAATCGATTTGCTCCTAATATGCAAAACGGTAACAGAATGTCTCATCTGAAGCGGGCAAAACATCAACGAGCCAAAGTTTGGATGATAGTCGGGATGACCCGAATAGGAAGCAGGCTTGTTGCATCTATTCTAAGCCGCTGCTGTGGATAGAACCAGGTAGGCGTTGACCAGACAAGAAAGCCAATCACCCAGATGCGAATGAGGCTCCTTCCACTTTTCCGGATTCGTTCTCTTTCGTTCCAACGACACCGGCTGACCAGGGCTTGAAAACCATCTTCTACCGAGATACCGAATGCCTGCAAAGCAAAAAAAACCGGACTGCCTGATTGAGACGGTTCAACACCCATGGCAATATCAGAGATGTAATGAATCAAGCCTGAGATTAGGAACGCCAACCACAGTCGAGTGTACTTTGATAACGCAGTTTTTCGTGGAATTCGGAACACCGAGTCGGCAAGCAGATCTGCATGCCCAGTGAGGACTGCCCGAAGGCATTGATGCCATACTGCACTACAAGATGCGAAATTAGTGATCGGCATTATGATTTTTGGCGCCCGCCGAATACATACCCCCAGAACTGACGGATGCTTGCTACATCGGCAAACGAACCAAACAATGGTGGGCAATCACCTGCAGAGCAACGCAAGCAGATGACACTCAAGAGGGCTCCGCAGTTGTTAATGATGAAGAGAAGCAGGGCAACGCTGACCCAGAACGATGCTGTGGCGATCGTCCGGAACACGTAGTCTTCACAAGTCAAGGTTCGTAGGTCCCATAAGGTTTGTTTCTGGATGCTGAACAGCGCGACATCAGGTACCGGGGCTGACACCATCGCGTCAAGAACCAGATACGCTACGATCGTGGCCGTTGCTCGACGCCATACGAACCCAGCTCGACTCTGCTTCGGTCCGGCGGGTGTGTTCTTGACTATCCACCTCGTGCCAATTCTCCGCAAGTTCCACAGCATCAGAACCACAAGTCGTAATCGGTCTGTTGTCCGAAAGTCAGACTCAGATGCGCGTATACCTAAGATCAGTTCCGACGCGCTAAGGAACTGAATCCAGGTAAGCGGCGCAGCGATTGCCCGCCAGTGGGGGTTCGTGATAAGTTGCAGCCATGAGGAATGCAGCCCTATAGATAGTGCGACCAATACCGTGACGCCGATTACTCGGGCGATTGTCTGTCCTCGTGTTGTGAACAAGATTGTAGCAACGAAGGTAGTTATGATCGCCGATTGCAGCAAAACAAGAACTGCAAATTGGCCATGGAGCCACATTTGGGGGTCCGTAATCTGTGTTGGGCCTGTCTGCTTGCTGGGGACATGAAAGGTTCCGTGGCACTAGGTGGAACGACAAGAGGCGGAATTTATCGTGAGTTTGATGGCGTAGGGAAGGGGATTGGAGACGGGTCTCGTCCAGCACTATATCTATACAGTAAATTGTGGGGCGATTTCGCATACTCAACAATGTTCTTCAAGTATGTCGGCGACTCCAATTGCGAGAGGTTAATACGAGTACGAGCAGCGTGCGGCAAAGTTTAAAGGAAACAATTTATGTGGCCTTTTCGGTTCCTGCTCAGGTTTGACTTTCCAGTCCTACTTTATTCGTACTTCGTCATATTTGACTAACAAACTTGATCTGCAAGGGTGGTACCAGTGTCGTAATGACTTCGATGTGATGATGGACATTGCCCGACAGAGGAGACAATAGACAGGGTATCCCCTTCTTTCCAGTCAGCGCACAAATCAATGACTGTCACTCCACATTTGGTCGACTGATATGGCGATGATGGCATCTTTAGGGACGAGAGTGCCGTCCGAAAGCTGCACGTCGTCTAACACGAGACAATGCATGGAAGCTGGCCGGGAATGTAAGTGGTCTCGATGCATGCAACAAGAAAAGGAGATTCTGTGTTACTTACTGCGGGCTATTGGCTTTCTTTGATGGTGGCGTCAACGAGACGCATTTCGGCGAGTGAAGACTTTGACCAGCCGTGTTGGCATACCGATTCGGCGACTTCCCTTCGTAAAGTATCGGTGATATCCGGATTTAAGGCTATGTCCAACAGCGTCTGTGTGAGGAGATCGGTTGTTGTGTGAATCGCTGCTTGCATAAGGATGAGCTGTCCGATCACTGGGTCGTAATCGCTGCCCTCTTCCTTCTCGTCCTGTGCAAACCACTCAATCACATCGTTCAACACGGGTTCAAGGCGACCTTCAGCTTCCGCGGTCGCCTTTCCCTGTCGTCGTTTATCGATGATGTCGGTGACTATTTGCCGTGCATTGGCGACTTGCTTCCTAAGTGTGCGACACTGTGGCAAAACCCAGTGAACGAAAGGTCGGAGGGTTTCTGGCCACATACGGAGAAGCATTGCTGCAATGTAGGCATTCGTGGTGTAATCCATTGTGATCTTGAGCCAGGCCTTGTTGCGGGCGCCCTCATTCCCGAGGAAGACGTGCGACGACATGCGTGCGATGACCTGGAGTACATGCTCTCTGAGGTGGATCTCATGCCAGTCTGGAAAGGTCTAGGTCAGTTCCACAAATCGTGTAAAGTGGGAATTTTAATTGTCACCTGTCGATTCGGTCAAAACGTCCTGGAGAGCGGCAAGACACTCGCTGGAGACAGAGGCGGTTACCTCATCTGCAAAAGTAGAGTCAGCACTGCCATCGTCTTTTAAATATTCGATGCGTTGACCACGTTGCTTACCTGGGATGTTGGTCAGATGTCTCCTCACAACATCTCTGATGCGATGCGCGTCTGGCGTTCCCTCTCGAAAGCCTTCAAACCCTGAGAATTTCGCGTGAAAGGTCTAACAGGCAATGCATCAGCTTAGTGTCATGTGAATATAGGTAAAAGTGGTGTATTACCCGGTTGATGACTGCTGCAAAGTCCAGTTGAGGATCAGCCCGCAGCTCGCGTGCAAACTTTGCTCGGGAGCACAGTGAGCTCGCCAATAATGTCAGTCATCAGCCGAAAAGGTTTGCCGGTTTCGATTATCTCATAAATCAGACCCTCCTTGGTGATACACTCGCTCACCCCCCCTAACCGAGCTAATTAGAGTGGCTTAAGTAGGGGCGGGCACAAATTCTCACTAGAGGGTCTAAGGGAAAATAGTAGTATTTAAGAGTCCTATAGCAACTTTTAATAAAGGAAATTTATTATCTAATAAGAATATTAAAATAAGTATATTAATACCTTAGAACTATTAGATTTTTATAAATAAAGGCTTATATAAAAGCTTTTATAATTCTTTATCTTTTAAGCTACCTCTTAAGTTATTTAAATTAGTAGTTCCTTTAAACTTTTAAAGTATTCTTAAGAAGTTAATATAAAATATTACTTATTTTTTAAACTTAAAATATATACTTAATAGATTTTTAATCTATAAATATAAGATTATTCTAATTAGGTCTCTTATTAATACCTACTTTATAGCTTATTAATAAGTATTATAATTATAAAGTAATAAAAAGGTTTCTAGTTAAATTAATAAGTTTTCCTTAGAAATATTACTTAATCTTTAATTTTAAAATATATACTTAATAAATTTTTAATTTATAAATATAAGATTATTCTAATTAGGTCTCTTATAGAAGAGTTATAATTATAAAATAATAAAGATATTTCCGGTTAGACTTTTACTAAGTATAAGTAAGAAATTAATACCTTAGTCTTAGTATATATACTTTAATATTAAGGAAATCGATATAAGTAAAAATAAATATGTTAATTAATAGAAAAATAGATTATCTACTATCTATAGTATACTTAAAGTTATATAAATAGTTATATATTAAGTTATTAAAAAGTAACTAAAGAATTAAAGTCGGCTTGAAATTAATCTCTATATAAATCAGTATTATTTTCCTTTAGACGCTTTATAGCTTTTTAAACGTGAATATACTAACTAAGTAGCCTAAAGCAGTTAGATAGGGAGTCCACGTAAAGAAAGCAAGTGAAAGTATTTATCTGAGATAAGGTTTCGATACCTTTGGTTAACTATTTACGCGCGTTGAGCGCAAAGGCAACCTTGACCCTAGTGGATATTAGCTCAAACTATCTGCCTGGGTTAATAAGAGGAATTCTTTGGTCGCGTTTTGTGCGGAGGAATGACTGAATGATGAGAAAACCTAGGAGCGCGACTGCAAGTCCGAATACGCGATGCTGGAGCATCAGATCAAGGAGGCGTTCCATGGTTAATAGTGAGTGCAATTAACGGCGAGAGATAAAGTATAAGAGACATGAGAAGCAGGATAACCGAACATACGGAATATAGACTGAGCTTATAATAGCCGTACTGGGATTTGGCCTTATATAATCCACTCCTTGTTTGAATCCTTTGGGTTTTCATCTTATCTTAGACAAATACCTCGCTTACCTTCTTTATATAAACTCTCTATCTAACTACTTTAGGCTACTTAGTTAGTATATCTACGATTTAAAGGCTATAAAGCGTCTAAGGGAAAATAGTACGGATTTATATAGTAAATAATTTTAAGCTAATAATAATTTCTTAGTTACCTTTTAATAACTTAATATATAATTATTTAAATAACTTTAGGTATATTATAAATAGTAAGTAATCTATTTATTTATTAATTAATATGTTTTTATCTATTTATATTAATTTCCTTAATAATAAAGTATATATACTAAGACTAAAGTATTAATTTCTTACTTATACTTTCTATTTAAACTACTTAGAAACCTTTTTATTAATATATAACTAGAATAAATATTAATAAATATTAATAAGCTATAAACTATTTATCTATAAGAGCTCTAATTAGAATAATTTCATATTTATAAATTAAAAATCTGTTAAGTGCGTATTTTAAAATAAAAGGTTAAGTAATATTTCTAGAAAACCTATTAATTTAATTAGAAATATCTTTACTATTTTATAACTATAATACTTCTTAATAAACTATAAGCTATTTAATAATAATAAGTATATTTTAAGTAATCTTATATTTATAGATTAAAAATCTGTTAAGTATATATTTTAAAATTAAATATTAAGTAATATTTCTTAGGAAAACCTATTAATTTAGCTAGAAACCTTTTTATTATTTAATAACTATAATACTTATTAATAAGCTATAAAGTAAGTATTAGAAAGAGAGCTAATTAGAATAATCTTATATTTATAGATTAAAAATCTATTAGGTATATATTAAATAGTTTAAAAGTAGAGTATATTTCTAAAAAATAAATATAATTACTTTCAAAATACTTTAAAAGTTTAAAAGAACTACTAATCTAAATAACTTAAAAAGTAGCTTAAAAAATAAAGAATTATAAGAGCTTTTAAATAAGCCTTTATTTATATAAATCTGGTATTCTAAAGTATTAATATATCTACTTTAATATTTTTATTAAATAATAACTTTATTTTATTAAAAGTTATTATAAGACTCTTAAATATTATTATTTTTCCTTAGACCTTTTAGTAAGAATTTATACTCGCCTCTACTTAAGCTACTCTAATTAGCTTAATTAAAGGAGGTAAGTGAATATATTACTAAGAAGAGTCTGATTTATAAGATAATTTTTATTATACTTCCTATTTATGATTTAAGCAAGTCTTGATACACTATATTAAGTAAACATATGATTTTACAGAAGCTTATAGTAAAGTAGAGCGTTAGGCTCGGCTTCGCTAGACAGACCTTAATTGTCGGCTTCGCTTATAAGGCCGCTAATCGTTGTCCCTCCTTAGTTAGTAGAAGCGAGAGACTAAAGTAAGCGAAAGGCTAATAAGACTAAATTTTAATTATCTTTGATTTTTTAGCCTTTAAGGTAAAATTCTACTTTTCTAGTTGTAACTTATATTATATAATATTAAAAAACTTAAAAAAGCTTATATAAGAAACTAGCTATATAATACTTATAAATATAATATAAATATAATATAAGTTCTTAGTTATTTTTAAGTAATTAAATTAAATACTACTTAAAATAATAGTTAAAGATTATTTAATAAATAATATAATTAGAACTATAAAAGCTTTTTACTTAAAAACTGTTTTAAACTTTATAAAATATATTAAATAAGTTTTTTTATTAAAAGTGTTTTTATTTCTATTATTAATAATTTATAAATAATATAATAAGTTATTACTCGGCCCTCTGCTTCTGCCGGCCTCCTGCTTCCACTGACTAAGGAGGGACGACGATTAGCGGCCCCGTAAGCGAAGCCGACGATTACTCCTAATATATATTCTACTCTAAACCTTGCCAGTAAACTTCCACCTCCAACAATTAGCACTAGCCTGTCGTGTCACCTGTACCAGCAGATCCGAGCTTGGTTTTTTGACAGAAAGCATATTATTTCGCTCTTGTTGAGGATTCCTCCATACATCCGGCAAAATATCAACCTCAAATGTATACACGAACATAGCAGTGAAAGTCAGCAGCTCGTCCAATGCCAGGTGCCTGCCTGGGCACAGTTCGCTGCCACCCCCGAAGACTCGGTTCGCCGCTGGGTGCACTTTATCCCGTCTAAGGAATCTTTCTGGGTCCAGCTCGTTGGCTGATGGGCCCCATACGGCTGTGTTGGAGTGCATCGCCGTGGCTGGTATCTGTATGATAGCACCCTTCTTGAGCACAAGTCCATCGTCCAGGTGAACGTTGTCGTTTACTAGGGAAGTGCCGATGGAGGAGCTGATATAGCGAAGGACTTCCCGACATGTTGAAACTAGCAGCTGGCACTGCGATCTAAGAGAAGCGGCCTCGACGGTTATCTCTTCTGAGCCAATGGCCGTGACGACCTGCTGGACCTCAAACCTAATCCTGTCCGCCAGGGCTTTATTTGCTGCCAAGAGACTGACGATCCAAAACAGAGCCGGCACTGAGTTGATCACGAACCCAGTGAAGAAGCCAAGAGTGTATCTCGCCTGAAACTCCACGCTCGTATTATGGCGCTGAGTTATTTCATAGAACACTTGGCTCAGCGCAATGGAACCACGGCCAAGACCGACTGGGCCTTTGGGGTCGTGGTCATCGATGAAGGCTTGAACCAATCGCTCAAGAGCCACCACGGCCTTGCGCGCCGTAAGAGATTGGTATGGCAACATCGTGAGCTTTTTGAGGCCGCTCTCCATAGTCCTTGTGGAAAAATTAGCCTCCGGGAACAACGAAGAGGGCCGTTTTCGGGCCAATTACTCACCACAAGCAACTGACCAAGTCTTTAGAGCGGTCGAGTGGATTGCCGCGACCGAAGAGCCCTCTTCCTGTTGCCAGGGTAAACGTCCTCTGCAGCCAGTCTAGAAGGTTCACTTTCTCAGGACATTTTGAAGCAGTGTCGTTCATTATGTCTGCGAGTTCCCGGGAGATACTCCCGTAGATTTCCACCATGGACTCCGTTCCGGCTTCCAAAGCAGCGTGCTCCATCGCTCTGAGATCATGCCGCAGAGAGTCTTTCGCGGTGGCATTTCGCATCAAATCGTCCAAGTCCTCATCATGCATGCCAAAGAACTTGCCGCAGACGACATGGAGAAATGGCAAACTCGCATCAATTTTCTTTCTTTGACGGTTTATCTGGGTGATGAGTTCTGGCGAATTCACTATGTACACCTTTTGCGTGCCGAAAAACGTCGTCAAGATTGGAAGATTGGTCTGTTTCCTATTGTGACTAGTGTCAGCAAGTCATGCAATACAGATTTGGAGAAGTTATCCCCTAAAGTGCGACACGCGCACCTCCCTTAGCTGTGCCGCCTAAAGCGAAGCGCTGGTCAGGGAGAGTTACAAGCGACCTAATAGTCGGTTCCCCTTTTAACCTTCAGAGAGCAAGTGCCTGCAGCTTCACAGAAGGGAACTAACTATTAGTGCTCTGGACAACTGAACTCTGTAGAGTATCGTTTGTTTAATAATAACCTGTAGTGAATGCTATAAAGGTCTTTAGGCTGCGCGGCGAATCGCACTTAAGGGGATATGCACACCTTAAATTCTCGTAGTATGTCACACCTTGAGTAAACAATCTCAACGCTTGGCCCAAGATTGGTATTTTCGATCTCACCACTGGCGGTTCCTGGACGCTGACCCTGCACAGGACAGCCTCAAGACATCGCAGCGCCATCCAGACTAGGAGACTCCATGTGGCAACTCGGGCGAACACTTTGAGGGTGCTCAGAAATTCTTCTGTCGGATTCAGCATCTTCATATAACGCTCGGAGCTGATGCACGCCTTTCGCAAATTACGATGTAGATGGTTCTGGAGGTGCTGCAAGAGTGGCCGTTGTGCGAAGCACCAAACACCATCGAGATCACGGGTCTCTACGAAAATCCGGCCGTCTGGAACCCGCATCGTTTCCACCGGACGAGGCAGGCAGTGGGGGACAAGGACGCAAGCCTCACTCATTCGAGCCCTGAACACTTGGCATGGGGATACTGTATGGTAAGCACGCGTGCCCAGGGCGGTTCTTTGTGGCGCAGGAGGTCAAGGTAGCCCTGGGTCATTTACTGCTAGTAGACTTTCTGCCAGCCCCTGTCGTCTTCGAATATTTCAGAATAGGGTATAGCTGCGACTACAATGCTACAGATCGACGAATATTCGCTATATATAGGTCTAAATCACGATGAAATGTTTGTTTGGACAAATATTTGGATTCGTCCACGATACTCCTTTCGTTTACTATATCTAGCTTAAGCGGCTTCACTTATCCCTTTAATCTTCAAATCTTATATATCTTAGGATAGATCAGATAGGAGCGTGATGTAGTAACCTGACGATCTTTAAACTTGAAAAAACGTGACTAACTGATATACCCTACATGTGGCATTCTTGAGTATTCGAATGTCGTTAGCGCATAAGGTGCGGAAAGTCTCTATTACGAGTGGAAGATTGCGCCGTCGTCCGTAAATACCAAGCCGTTGGAGATTGGGCTTACCCTAGCTGCCGACCCAATGGCCAGGGTCATGGTGCGGAAAGTTCCACAAACTTGCTGAACATCATCGACACGGAGAGTGATAGAATCCATGCATGCTTCTTCGCGAACTATGGATATATTGGAATAGTCTGATGATACTTAGTGTTTGGGGAAAATAAACCCCTACCCTGTCTCTATCAGCACGAGCTTCAGTAAGGACAGCTATCTAATCACCTTATTAGAATAGGTCTATTTATAGGGAAGAAACTCCTAGAACCACACATCAGGGTATGGGTTTATTTATCCCAACCACAAGTACATACTAAAACAGCTCAGCTTGTCAATTCTACCTGGTCCTAGCTCTGTAAGAGTCGTTAAACTAGTATTTGGTAGCCCCACAAAGCCTGGTGTAAACTTTGCATTCTTTAGTACGAATAGACACTCGCTTCTGCTCACTCATATGCATACTCTGCTAGCCACCCTGACAAACAGTCTCGCCAAAGTCTAGGCGCTTGCCACACGACTTCTTTGTTGGAAACAAACCTACAGGGTTTATAGTATTCAGCGTAACCCTGCGCTTACACCAACAATGTATACAAGTAATACCATCCCCCCCTTGAATAAAGGTTAGCGTCTCCAGGTATACTAGGGCTAAATTTTTATATACTTTCTATCTGTGCTAACCTAGAGACGCTAACCTTTATTCAAAGGCGGGGATGGTGGCTGTAGATAACTAGGCTTATAAGTATTGCAAACATGACACCGTTAATTGCGCAGTAATCAACGCCTTAAATCACTTGTGACAACACGTATGCAATTCTTATCGTACCTGTAGCTTTTACGGGCTTGGCTCTAAAGATCACAGTGTTATACGTCCGCCGGACGAGTCGTTCCTCCGAATACAACAGTTCAAGGTTATTATTCGAACGCATTAATCACTACTGCCTCGTTTTCAGCAGCATGGCACTTGGCTTCCCAGACTTCCTTGGATTGTCTCCAACAACATATGCCCTCGGCTCAGGTGTTGCACTCCTACTCGCCATTTTTTCCTGGATACAACAGAAATCACACTTGGTGTTAGATCCTCGCGAGCCACCACTCTTCAATCCGAGGGTTCCAATTATCGGCCATGTACTGCGAATGTGGCGCGATGGAGGCGGCTATTATGTGGACATCCACCGTCGTTTGGGCACAAAAGCCCAGGCCGTGACGCTGAATATCTTGGGCCAGAAGTTCTACGTTCTCTTGTCACCTTCCAATGTCCAAGCAGCTTTTCGAAACAGATACCTCACATCAGAGCGATTCAATATCCAAGCCGCCACCGGTGTGGTTGGTCTCAGTGCCCGGGCGAAGCATGTGCTCGAGCACAGCGATCTGCTTCAGGACTTTTATCGAAATGTGCCACTGGCGCTAGCACCGGAACCGTTGCGGAAAATGACGTCGACGGCACTCAAGACTTTGTCAGCAGATCTCAACGAATTTGCTTGTTGTGGTTATGAGGATGGACAGGAGCCAATAGATCTCTACCGTTTCCTGCGTGACAGGCTCGTGCTGGCTACCACCGATGGGCTTTATGGCATCAAGACGAATCCTGTACGCGCTAAAAGTGAGCTTGTAGAAGACGTCTGGTAAGCCATGTCTTCACTCCTTTCGTCGTCACGATATCAATAAGCTGACCGAACATCATAAAAGGACTTTTGACGAGGCCATGTTCACTCTCTTCTTCAACGTCGCTCCCAAACTCACTGCGCCAGCAGGTCACAAAGCCCGCGGTCGCTTGCAGAAAGTTCTCATCGCATACTTCCGGCAATATCCGGATGAATGGAGCTTCCCAGACGACGCTGCAGAACTCACGCGCATGCGCGCACGTCTTCTGAGGATGTACGGAATGTCTGACATTGACATTGGTAACATGGAAATCGGCATGATTCACGCCGCCGTCTCAAATACCGCGCCGATCCTCTTTTGGATGGTCATCAGCATCTTTGCCAGGCCCAAGGTTCTTGCCAAGCTGCGTGCGGAGGTTGAAAAACTGGTCGAGGTCACTGATGGGACAGCCACCCTACGCGCCTCACAGCTGACAGATCGCAACGTCTGCCCTTACGTGGCGGCTGTGAACCGTGAGGTCATGCGGCTCTGCGACTCTGTGACCGGGACTCGCTTCGTAGATAAGGACGTCACCCTGCCCGACGGTACACTCCTGAAAGCTGGAGCATTAGTCCATATGCCCTCGGCGGTCGGACACAGAATGGCGGACGCCTGGGGACCGCATGATCCCGAAGACTTCATTCCGGAACGGTCGCTCGGCCGCGTTGCCGACAATAGCAACCCGGAAGAAGTCACATTTACAGAACCTTCGTCGCAGAGAAAGGCGTTCTGGCCGTTTGGGGGCGGCAAACATCTCTGCCCAGGTCGGAACTTTGCATTTGCCGAGAACATCACATTTGTTTCGGCGCTGGCTGTCGGCTTCGAAGTGCTAGGTCTTAATGTTGACACGATACCGCGATGTGGCTATGCTAACCTGACCGGGCAGAGCGTGCCGAAACCGAATCAACCTGCCATGGTGACATTTCGACGTAGAAAGAACTGGGATAATGTTACATGGCGGCTGATTGCATGATTCAGAGTTTCTATACGAGTACACATAACACGTAGAGCAGAGTTAATATCACCCGTATCATCACGAGCGAACCTCGGCTTACTGGTAATGTAATTAGTTGAAGTCTTACTTCTTACACATGAAAGTAAATTATGTCTCACCGCCTTGGTTCTGCACATAGTAAATTGCATGTTCTGCCGTGGGCGGTGAGACATAATTTACCTTCGGCACCACCGTAGGTTTCCAGTTACTAATAGTCGGTTTCCCTGTAGAGCGGTGAAGCGAGGCGCTAAGGCTGCCGGGACGACACCAAAGCATTCGAATTTCAGCGTTCTTCGCTTAATTGCAGGGTCTCGCTACAGGTGTTTTTGATACGGCAGTTAAGGGGATATGTTTACTAGGGCCAACTTTTCATACATTTTCTACAGGTTTACTGGGGCTAATTTCTTATACATTTTCTATAGGTTTACTAGGGCCAACTTTTCATACATTTTCTATCTGTGTCAACCTAGAGACGCTAACCTTTATCCAAGTGGGGGATAGTATCATGCAGTAAACCATGTACTCGTAGGCGTTCGACGGGAAAACGGGGTATTGATTACGACCAATATACGCGACCACAATATATATAAAGTCCCTCCGGCGCCTCTACATCGTACCATATTTTCATCAACGACCAAACATCACAAAAGATGAGCATCGAAGAAGGCCCGAAAATCATACAGATGTCGCTTCGGCACACGCCAGCTCAGAAACGGCGCGAGCAAGCTTCTCTTTCCGATCTACCTTCTGACGCCTTGCAACCGAGCAAAGGTACGACCTGGGGGCGATCTGGCAGCAACCGGCCATGGCTGCGATCTTTCCTATCAGCAACGCCACTTTTGCTCGCTCCACTGGCAGCAGTGTCGTTTGAGATTGCTCTTCACCACTTCAATGGGTCGCTGGCGATGGTCCTGACGGCGTACCTAGAGCAAGGGATTCTGCCTGTCTTGTATACATACGGACCACGATGGGATTTGAAAGCTCTAATGGCCTACACCTGCTGGATTGCGCTTCAAGCAGTGCTGTATGTTGGCCTGCCGGGACCGACTCAACAAGGTCAACAGACTCCTGCAGGACATCTTCTCAGCTACCGAGTAAACGGGCTTCGTGCTTGGATTCTCACCTACTCTTTGCTTGCCGTGCTATCGGTAGCAGGAGTAATTGATATAGCGGCTGTGGCGGAAGATTGGACTGGGTGGTTCTTTGCGATGAATCTTTTTGGATTTCTTGCATCAGCGATCGCTTTTGTGAAAGCTTATTTGGCGCCGACTCATCCCGATGATCGCAAGTTTACAGGTAACGTATTCTTTACCAGTGGTTTCAATGGGGTTTGAGAGAGGCAATGCTAATCGATGAAAGCCGTCACTGCCTATGACTTTTACATGGGAATTGAGCTGAACCCAAGGCTCGGCGAGCACTTCGACCTGAAGCTCTTCACCAACGGACGAGCAGGCATGATGACTTGGACTCTGATGTGCGTAGAGCAATATAGGAATGAGTAGAATGAACATTTTGCTGACCAAGTCAAAGAGATATTTCCAACCTTGCTTTACAGTATCGCAATGGGACGCTATCAACAAGCCTGGTCCTGGTCACGATTCTACATAGCATCTATGTTCTTGACTTCTTTGCCAACGAATCTTGGTACCTCCGGACGATAGACATCGCACATGATCATTATGGTTTTTACTTGGCCTGGGGATGTTTTACGTGGCTTCCGACCATGTATACTCTTCAGGCCCAGTATCTTGGGCGGTATCCGACGAGTCCCTCGTCAGCCTACTTGGCCGTCACCTTCTCAATCGGTCTTTTGGGATACTACATTTTCCGGCGCGTCAACGCTCAGAAGGATTTATGTCGAAGAACCAATGGAGACTGTATGATTTGGGGAGAGCCCGCTCGGTTCATCGTGGCGCCGTACAGGACTTCGGATGGGACGCTGCACAAAAGTCTCCTCCTCTGCAGCGGCTGGTGGGGTTTGTCGCGCCACGCGAATTACACTGGAGATCTTTTGCTGAGTTTCTCCATGTGCGCTGTGGTCGGTAAGACCACGCTGCTGGTGTGGTTTTATGCCATCTTCATGACCGGATTGCTGCTCCACAGATGTCTGAGAGACGAGGAACGATGTCAGGCAAAATATGGGTCATCTTGGAAAGAATACTGCCAGAGAGTCCCATGGCGGCTGATTCCGGGTATATGGTAACAATCGACGTTGCAGGTCTCTACTTCCGTGCGCTCAACTTCCACATAATCCTCTGACCTCGTAAGAGCTAGCGGCATTACTCGGCGTACACCTACTACAACACCTTTATTTTTCTCAACCTCCACAACTCTAATTGAGTTCTAGCTTTGAACACTTATAAAAATAGCCTCTCTTGATAGTCCCTCTAATTTTTAGCGTATTGTTACTATTCTATTGTATATAATTATGTCCTTTATCTTACATGTGAGCTGTTTTGTTAAATATCTCTATTTTATCAGATTAACCTTATTTTATAATTGCTATACAACCTCCTTTATATCTTCAATTGAAGTTAGAACTGTTTGAATCTTTGTACTCTCGTTTTTTATCTACTGCTATATATTTTCGATTAGATTAAGGTCAGGAGAAGAAGGTAGCTAATCAAACTATTCCGTGCTCTAATCGCTACACTCGAGCTTTTCCTTTATAAACTTTAGCTCTGTCCTCTATGTATATTATCTCAGCTGAAGGGGGCTATATCTCTCTAGGCTTATAGTTAGCCTTAATTAGTAACGAGAGAATAGGATCGTCTATATTAGAGGTGTTAACGCGTTTTTATAGAGATTTAAATACACGTTGTTGTGTTACGGAATATAGGTTCGCTTAGGTGTACGCCGAGTAATAGCGCGAGCTCTTACCTGGAATTTCTTATAGGGTCGAGTTCACTACCAATGAGTGAATGAATAACTGGACGAGTCCGTTCTACCTTCTATATAAACTGTTAGTACGCAGATGTTATATTATATGCACGGTTTAAGTACCGAAACGGAGGGGTTCCGGTGCTGTTCCGGAGGTGTGTATATATTATATATAGCTATTTTCCTACCTCTATAGTAATATACACTTAATAAAAATTTTGATCTTAATACTTGATTCATTATATCTATCTATAATACCTCAAGAAATTGCAATTGTCCCGGTAATAATGTATACCGACAATTGCTTTAATTCAAAAGCTCTTATTAGAGTACTTAGAACTTAGATTTCAGAAAGGTAATAAAAGGTTATATTCGGTGCGCGAAATGATTTCCCATCGACCTTGAAGGCATGGATGTGGCGTTCTTCATCCATCTGCATCACTGCTTCTGCTAGCCCACATGTCCAAATCTTTGGATGCCTACTGGAATCGAGTTTTAGCGCTTGAAGCAAATTGGACGAGCTATCTCATCCTGGGATCGCTCTGCTTGGTGTGTGGAGCTGCCTATGTAAATGCCCGGATATTTCTAGTTGTCGAAGCGTTTATCAGCATTAGGCAATTGCAAATCGCTGCATATGGTACTCCTGACTGGACACAACTTATACCTCATCTTTGAACTTGGTAAATCCCGGTTCATTGGTGCTGGGGCCAATCAATACACACACTCGTCCATAGGTTTGTCAGGCGAAGCGACCACAGAACAATATTTCCTGATTTTATTGCGGGGGTTAGTAGAAGGATTCATTTTATTCGGAATTGGCAGAGAGTCGAGTACACTGCACATGACTGGTACCGTTTTTATATAGTTGTTTCAGTGGTCTATACTGTCCCAAGAACCTTATCCGAATCTATCTCCAAAGATGATAGTGGCTCATATGATTCCTCCTTGCCTGCGTGAGATCGATCAAATTTTCACTTGGAAGCCAATCTAGGCAATTATTCCGAGTTTATTGGTACAGCAAGATACTTTTCCTTGATTTTAGCGCTAGCGATGACCCTCGTGCCAGCCTGGATTCTCGTGCCATTATGATTCTCATGCTGGTATATGAACTCGCACTAGGAAACATTAGGGACGACCTCGGACAGGGAGGTGGCAGAGGGAGATGTCCAACTTCTTTCCTACGGGTAGGTAGATGACTAGGATAAGATATCCGTGGAATTTGGACTTGACTGCGTGTATTTTAGAAAATTAAGCAGAAGAGTTTGGTCGAAGACGCTGCTGTATGATGGGCGAAGTTAATGGTAAGTAGATGGCCTAATCCCGTTGTTTTAAACAAAGATAATGATAAAAAATGCTGCTAATTTATCTCTCCTCCTACTTTAAAAATATCGAGACATGGAATATTATGGCCTTGGATAGTGAATTGTTCAATGTCCCACGGTGGGTTTGCCGCAAGCCTCATTGATCAGTGGCGGGGTTAACAAAGGGTTGCGGCCCGTGCCGTTCCCATATTTAGAACATAATTCCGCATGTGAGAACAGCAGATATTACTGCTTTCAAGGTCGGAAATCTTGCCGCAATAGACCGGAAGCGGATATGACCTTTGCTGTTCTCTCCTTGCGCTACGTATGTATTTCGTCTTAACACTTACGATCTGTTCCCGTGATGGAGGGAATGACTGTCGGTCAGTTGATCTGTACGTGAACCAACGCCCAGACTAGTAAATAAATAACGCAATATCAGCACCACTCAGCTCTCCGTATTCATAAGCCTTCCTAAGTAGAGTGCATTTCCGTCTTCGAGAGTTCTCTCCCTTGCGATTTCGTCTCAGAGACATGGTTGTTTGAAGAAAGCGAATGTATTTGGGAAGAAGGTGACTTATATAATTAGGGTTAGCTACAGTTCGTATGAGAGGCACATGTCTGTGGCCGAGAGACTCTCAGACTCTGGTTTGGACCTTCTCGGACCCCAAGCATCCTCCATTGTAGGTAGCTGTGCTGCGATCACTCGACTGATCATCCGATTCACCCTCATTATGATGTGACATCCTGGAATGCTTCAGGTATCAGTGCAGGAGAATAGAAGATAATGGAAGCGGCGTGCATATGTTGGGGACGAAATATTAGGTTCAAGCAGACGGATATCGATTTTCTCAAAAGTTTCTTGGCGCTCATAGGAAGAAAGATCAAAGACGGGCGGGCCGGGCGGGCCGGGCGGCCTACAGCAATATTAATAACTAGTATCAATCTTGCAGGGCTAGCCCTTGTAATTTTTCTAGCTTTTACCTAACTCTGGAAAACGCCTCGAATTATTACACTTTAATAATATCTTTATATTATAAGCTATAAGCGCGGACTTAATAATTATATATTTAATTTTATTTATCCTAAAGCTTTTTAAATGCCTTATCTTATTTATAAAGTTATAAGAGGGGACCTAAAAAGTAGGCTTTACAGCTTTACTTTTTAGGCACTACTAAGCCTAAGCTAAGCTAGAGCTAAGGAATCTTAAAAATCTTTAATTTTAGTAGATCGATTATTTCTTAATATATAATATACTATATACTATAGAAAATAATTATAATTATAAGATTAATATCAACCTTTATAGATATCTATTTTTTAAGTAGTTTTAAGTTACTTTAAAAAGGTTAGAAGTAAGTTGAAAAGGCAGATTCTATACTTTTCGTAAAGGTCGCTTAAAATACCGATTAATACTAGTTACTAATATTACTATATAAATATCTCATATAAGTAACTATCATGCACCTGGCGCACCTAAGGCACTTCCTAAGGCGCTCTAGCTAACCAGAGGCTACTTATATAACTAGAACTCCTAGAGCTTCCCTTTATAAGGGAGCTCTAGAATACCTTAATAAATTAAGACTTTTATATTATATAAAGCTCCTTCTTATAGTATATAATAGTTAAGAGCTATATTCGCTTATTTAAGCTATTATATAAGTATATTATATAATATAAGTAGAGTTATAAGTAGTATTAAAAGATACTTATACTACTACTTAAAGAACTCCTTTAAATACTTCTTTAAACTTCCTGAAGTACTCTTAATACTATTAGTTCTATAGAAAGCTTCTCTAATATATTAATATATCTTTAAGATAAGTTAATTAAATATAAGAGCGATACTCTTAATTAAAGAAAGTAATAGCTTTAATAATAGATAACTTTTTAATATTATACTAAACTTAAAGGAATCTAGAGATTTATTAACTTTAATACTAATAATATTAGAAATATTATTAAGTAATAACTGAATTTCCTTAGTATTAATAATTTTATATAAGAAGAGATAAATAGTTGCTTTAGTAAATAAATAGTATTATTAATATAAGCTAACTTAGATTTACTAGTGAAATAGAATACTACTACTACTAAGGAAAGAGAGAGTATAATAGAACTGCTAGTATCTATAAGTAAGCTCTTAAAAGCTAAGTTTAAAGATATTAAAGTACTCTAGGAAGCTTAAATAAGAGAGTACTTAAATAAGCTAGCTAAATAGATAGCGCTTAATAACTATATTCAGAACTTCTTTAATTAAGTAAATAGTACTATTAGCTAATCTATTCTAACTAACGTAATTAATAATAATATAGATAAGGGCGCTATAGGATTATAAGCGCTAATTAAGTCTATTAAGTATAATATAATACCTTTAGATATAGTAATACTAACCTTTATTATTTCGGACTATACTAATATATTTAGCTTACTAATATATTAAGATAAGAAGTCGCGAATTAAACTTTATATATAGTATAAGTTATAGTAAAAGAACTTCTATCTTACGAGAATATATAATATTCCTAATATATAAGGAGTATATAGTAAGCGAGCTTTCTTAAACGTAATATTAGTTTAGTTAGAGACTTAGGCCGCTTAAGTACTTACTAATATTATAAGAGATAATACTTTAAGATATTAATATAGTATAATACTAAAGGAGTATAGTCTAGTGTTTATAGTAAATATAGAAAAGTACTATTAGAATAGAGGTAAAAGAGCTAATAGTTTCTATACTATACTAATACTAAGTAGTCGCTCTAATATAAGAGACTTATAAGACTATTCCGGAAGCTCTTAGAATTACTCTTATTTAAATTAAAGAGATAGAAAGATTAATTACCTCTATAGAATTAAATATTAATACTCTTTAATTAAGTACTAGAAGCTCTAGTTCACTTATAATAGCTTTTAAGCTAATAATATAAGATTCTATTTAAATAATAAGTAAATTAAGAGGATTCGTAAGGTAGCTTAAATACTTAAGTATATAGAACTATACTAAGAGATCTTAAAGAAA